TATTTGAGCAAACTAGTCAAATGAAAAATTAAGGTATCCAAGTGCAACTGAACAAGTTGGAAACCATGTCAAATATTTAACCTTTTCCACAAACTGCATAAAACCCCCACATCTGCACTTGCTGCATGGTTTTTCACTTCATGCAATTCCCCAAAATCTCCATTTATCCATACCAGCTGCACTCCTGTACCCACAGCTTCAGTCATTAAAGTGAAACATGAACCAGAACTTGTGTTTGACTCTCAAATCAGGAAGGCAGAGGCAGGATAGATGGAAGAATAATTATAAACAAATAGAACTATCTCTTGTGGTCACATTTCCTCTGCCTGGCAGCACAGCTATGCTGCGTGTGCATGTGTAAGAAATCAAATCCCCAATCCTCAGGTTGGAAAAGCAGTTCCATTGCTGTTTGAGGGGGCAGGCTTTGTAGGCTTTGCACCTTAGTCTTTTCTAGGCAGTTCACTTATTACATCCTGGAATACAATTGCACTCGAGCTAGAATAAGTTTACACTAAATATTAACTACCACCAGTAAGAAGTGAGTGTGGAAGGCACAGAGAGACTTTAAAAGTCAGGATTTGCTTTATTGGTGTAAGCTAAGCCTAAAAGAAAAAATGCAACAATATCAATCAGTCAAATTCACATACTCAAAACATAGAAAAAAGGAGCATGAAATGTGCACCACTTAAAAATAACATGCACTGACCAGCACCTCACGGGCCACTTGTGTCAACAGGCACTGAATGAAGAGATGGGAAGAAATCCACAGTGCTAACCAACCAAACCAGTCGAGGCACAAGGCATTCCCTCAGGATGGATGGGAAGGGATGGGGAGGGATGGGAAGGGATGGGGCAGGAGAAGCTGGAGGGCTAGCTGCAAGGTCATGGGACCCTGGCACACATTAAACCCCAGGAAATTTCTTCTGCCAAAACTGTTATTATTACAAGACATACATTTAAAACTGGCAGAGGCTTTTTATTATGAGTGACATAAGTTAAATTCATACATTGAAAGCATTTCTGTAAAATAGATCCTTAGAATTTTTCATACTTCAGCCAATGTGTAATAATGAACAAAACAAGACTTGTAAACTGCTGTGCCAGAGTAAAAATGACGAAATACAACCCAGGCTAGGAAGAATGTTATTCAAACTTAGTAATTGACAGTGTCACATTGATTTGTTAATCTAAACACAGATACCTATAACTCATTGAAATTCACTAGTTTGGGTTTTCAATCCAAATATTTGACCATTTCTATCTATATGTTTCTTATTTCAGCTTGATTTAATATAAATAACAGCATCAAAGCTTTCATTCATATGAAATCCAGACTAGTGGATGCCAAGGAAGCTAAAACCAACAGAGTTAAAATAGTAATTTGCAAATTAAGAATGCAGGAATCTAGCTCACATTCCTCTACTGCCAAAGGAGAGCTCTCATAAACCCCTTAAGGGTTTTTTACTTGTCTTTAAAATACAAAGGATTAGCTTTCTAAAGCTTCTTTCTGAAGTTAATTGGGCAAGTATAACTTTTAAAGTAGCCCATCTGCCTGGAGCACAGCAGCTGTGATGGGAAGTGGAGAATGGTACTGCAATATTTGGATAAATTCTCAAACAAAACTGTGAAAAGTCTCCAGTAATTAGTAGATGATATGAGAATTCAGAGCTTGGCACTGGAAAGTTATTGGCAGAAATTGTTGGACTTGTTTGTTGTGATACTTGTTTGCAGTGCACAAACAACACAGTGATTTCAGTGACTTAATGCCTGCATGTCATGAAAGTGAAATTTGGTATTAATGCAAATATTTATTTCCTCAGTATTTTATGTTACACTTCTTCCCACATGAAATAATCCAACATACGTTTTCTTCTAAAATTTTATAATAGAATAACATCACATTATTACTTTGCTTAAATTACATTACATTGCCTAAATGTTACGTGGCAGTTTGCTATATTCTGTAACAAGATCTTTCCCACTGCACCCTTCTCATCAATTCTTGTCAATTAAATATGGTAAAGTCTGTGCAATGCTTAAATAAAACCTACTAAGCTACTGGAAGGCTAATAAACCAACCAGTGAATCAACAGGGAACAGGACTAATAGTAAATTGATACTATGCTGGGAATTTAGCCCCAATCTTAACAATCAGTGTAACCCCAAAAGCAAACTATGCTGATTGTTAACAATCCCACAGAATACCTCCCATATTTTGCAGAAATTTCTCCTTTTATCCCTATTCTGTTCTAGCAGTCAGATTCAGATTTAGTTTAACTTATTAAAAGTACAGGAAAGATACTTTATATTCAGGTACATCTGATGTTTGAGTTCTGAAATTGAGCAGTTCAGCTATGTTGCTACTCCAGCATTACTCACTGCACACACTGAACTTGGGCTCAGACTGCCGTGGAATCATTGGGGCAGGAGAATTCACATTTGTAAGTCTGTCACACACCTAATACACAGTCGTTCTGACTTAATTATTGTCCTAACTGAGTTTCAGAAATATAAGATTTAGTGGCCATTCAAAATGTTTAATGCTTGTTTTTCCATGATGAGCCCTGGACAAATGTGGCAAACAAGAGCTTTACAGGCCAAACTCCTGTGTGAAAACTCATACATATAGCCAGTTTCAGTCTTGATTCCCAAATAACTGATATGTCATAGGAAAGATTTAATCTCCCCAGAAAAGGTTAAACTTGCATTAATCACTCGTTAAAATAAATTTATTTTCCCTTGACCAAGAGTTGTTCTCAAATCTGAACACACTAAAATGAGAAACTCTAAAAAGAAAAAAATTAATCTGATTTTTGTTTGAACTTCAACTTGCCTCCAAATGAAGAACTCACATTTGTATTGTTCATTTTTGATATTTCATCTGTAACAGGATTCAATAGCCATTTTCAAATCTGACTATTTAAGTTTTAAGATCTGTATTTGGGACCAGGTTCAGGCCTAGGATATTTTATATCCATTGGATATAAATATATATCCATTTTTTGTGCATTGTGTTTCATATGAAGTCTTAGGCACTTCAGAATTATAAAATATTTTTCAGTTTCTATACAACTGTCTCATTTTCAAAGTTACAAAACCAGTGAAGATGAACAGTTGGTAGGAGACAGCAGAAGAAAATTACACTGTTTGCCAGTTTGTTCAGCTACAACTGTTGTCTTTTTATTTTCAGGAACCATTTGCTGTTGTTCTGCATTTGCTGGTTATTTGGTCTGGATCTCTCTCTGATGCCAAAGTACTTAGAGAACTGAACTTACAGAACTGAACCAGCCCCTTGGATATGATTGGCCTTGTATTTGCAAGAACTGCAGTAACAACTGCACATCAGTAACTTCTCTCGCTGAAACACACTGGATGCTGCATTTTTCCCTGGTCAGAAGAGGTTACATTTTGCTTAACTGTTTGGGAAGCTTAATTTCAATTGGAGCATTAAAAAGATGGCTGAGGAAGAAATACTATCTCTGAAGAAAGCAATTCAGTTTGGTGTTAGTGGATATATTCCGTCAGTAAAACTATGCATCAGAAATGAAAACATCCCCAAAAGTTATGATGCTTGTTTAGACAACATGCAAATAAAACATATGTGACTGGTCCATCATAAACAAAGCTGGGTCACTAATGGAGAGCTGCTGTCAAATAAGAGCAACCAGGAAAGCCATAGACTCAACCTTACCTTTAGATTAGTCAACCATAAGCATAACAGCCTGTTGGAGTTTATAATACAAAGACCATGTTAGCTTCAGACACAAGGATTTCTGCATTCCCTAGCTACAAGAAATCTTTCCTTAAGTTTCATATTTAATTCCTTTATCTCGGTGTTTGGTCTATTCAGCAATTAAATTTGAAAGCAGATCCCTAAAGAGAGCATGTCAGTTCAAAGTATATACCAGAACAAAAAGGAGAATGATGAGCTTCGGGAGTAAGGTATTAATTTGTATCTTGGGAACAATCTTAATACACAGGTCAAATGACAAATGAAATGGGTCGCAAAGAAACACGTTACTTACAGACTCTAAATTGTGAATCAATGGCCCAGCAGAGCATGAAAATGCGCCCAGTGCTGCTGAAAAGGAACAGCCTGGATTCAGCAGATTTTAGGAGACAGCCCCAGCACCGCAGGACCAAATCCCAGCAAGTTCGATTCAAGGATGATGGAGTCAACACCAAGACAGACCTGGATGCTAATCCTGTCCGAGATACAACACTCACAGCTGGAAAAACAGAAGTATTTAGGGATCACAATTTTTTGCTAGCTCAGTCTCCAACTTTTCCAAGGGCTCAAAAGGGGCTTCGGAATATTGCCATACAAACATCTCCTAGCCTCAGGAAACACTTCCCAGTTTTTAAAAAGAAAAAGCTGACAGGAAGCAAATCGTTAACAGAAATGCCAACAGAGCCTGCAAATTCTATCCAGGTAAATGGCAATCTTTGTGAACAAGACATTATGTCTGCAGATCTCTGTTACTTGAGAATAACTAACCATTTGGAGGATGGATGTAGGAATAGCGAGGTGGACAGTCAGTTAAATCAAAGATCATCAAAAGCACAAAGCAATGGACCTATCTGTTCAGATGATTTCTCACTATCAGAGAAGACAACTGCGTCTACACAGGTGCCTGAATACATACATGTGAGTTTTCCACAAGACAGAAATGTTTCCATGGATGCAGGAGACACCACCATAAACTCAAGTAATTCACTGCATTCTTCTACTGTCATCAACAGCAACGAGAGCAATGAAAACAGCACACTGTCATCTGATTCTGAAAGAGCAGAGCCTTTCCCAAACAATTCCCCAAACTGTAGTGAATGTAATCCCTGTTCTGCTGCTTGTGAAGCAGAGAAAAGTGATTCTGAGCTACTTGCAGCCAGCAAAGATGCAAGCAGTAAGGAAACTACTCCATTGTCACCTCCATCAAATCACAGTTCATCTCCTTGTTTCCTCAGAGACTGTCACCAGGCAGGAGAGCACAAACCAGATTCTACCTGCATGACCTTACCAGATGAGGCTCACACAATAACGTCATTGACCAGCAGCAATTCATCAAAACCTATTCTGTCATGTAATACAGAAATCGAGAAAAATTCTACTCAGTCAGATGTCTCCCAGTGTAACAGCTGTTTAGAAGGATTTCACATAAAGTCCTGTCCACCAAGGAATGAAATCAAACCGCAAACCAACAAAGATGTTAGCGAAGTAAATCAAATTCACTTGGCACATGGTGAACTCTGTGCCCTCCAAGGCAGGCTGCAGTCTGTAGAGGAATCTTTGCAGTCAAACCAGGAGAAGATTAAAGTCCTTTTGAATGTAATCCAAGACCTGGAAAAATCCAGAGCGCTCAGTGAGGGGTATGGTGCATTTTTAATATTAGTAATTCATCAGAAGTGTGGAGTAGATGTAAGCATTCTTTTGACCTTTGCTACTGAAAAACATATCTTGTCTGATGCTTAAAGATGAGTTTGCAAAAAAGGTATCATGTAGCCTTTTTGTGTTACTTGGGCCTCAACAGAGAAGCAAATCTTGTCATAGCTTGGCTTTAGCTGACACTGCCTTTACGAAACTCAGTGTGAGACACAGTTTAACAACTCCCTTTTTCATTCAGATTTATGGTGTCTGATACCAAGCCACTGACACCTGAAATTGTCAGTCTGCACCAGTTTATATCAGCACAAACCACACTTCTGTTCAATAACTCATTGCTGCCTCCAACAGGAAGCAAAGGGAGCAGTGGCTGAAGCAGAACATCTGCAGACATTTGGGAGTGAGTTAGGTTTCATGACACCACAGACAGCATAGCTGCTCAAAGGGATTGCCTTAGGAATAGGGAAAGGCACAATGCCAGGTGAACTTGAAGAGCTTCACTATGCCAGCAAGATTTCTTGGGAAGTGGAGGGAGATGCTTAAAAGGGATTAGAACCAAGGATGTAGAGCATTTGAAGACAGCAAGAACTCACTTCACACTCTCAGATTTCAGTGACTGCTGTCTGCAGCCCCAGAAGAATTCACGACCTGTGTTTAGGTCAGTGTGCTGTCACAGGGGCTGTTAGCCAAGGCTGTGACTGGGAGCCAAGGCTGCAAGCAGTATTTATGCAACTTATTTATGCATTTTAAGTAATAATAATGCTATAAATGCAACTAATGTCTAAAGACTAGATGCCCTTGTAGGACAAGGTTAAAACAGAATTTTAAATATTCTATGCTCAAAACAGGTTTCAGAATATCCTGGATAACAGCATCTCCTACTTATAACAAGTACATCTAGGATACACTTTAATGTTCTGTTTTAAAGTAGTATATCCATCAAATAATTTATCTTTGCAAAACTCACAAATAAATCTTTCAAAGTATCAAGGGAATAAAGATTCCATTTTACTTGATTTTTCAAACATAAAACAACATGAAGTCTATGGTATCATAAATTTGCTTCTATCCTTAGCACAGGCATCTTAGGCATCTAGAATTATTTATCATTTATGCACAACTGGTTTGTGTGCAAAGCCACACCCTTAATTCTAAAATCAGATCATGTGTATCAATAGTATTGACTGATTGCAATTAAGGAGTAAATCTGGTCATCTTGCACAGCTCCACAAACTATGCAGACCTAAGAAGAAGGCTGCACTGAGGGTTTGGGTGGGTTCAGCACACAGAAATAGCACAGCACACAGGAGTTGCTCACAGGACTTGGCACCAGGCCTTTGCCCTTGCTCCCATGGGGGCAGAACAGGTCTGTGTGGCTGTGTAAACCTGTCAGCACAGAACTAACTGAGGCCACAATTTTACATATCCCAATTTTCTTAGAGCTTCTGAAGAAAGAAAGAAAAAAAAAGCTACTTTTAAGAATTCTTTTTTTTTCCAAAGTATTTTAGCTGGGGATAGAAGTTGCCATTGCATTGCAGATGAACAATTTTCCAAGTCATACTCCAAATATGAATTTACACTCGTTAAAAACATTAAAAATAACATAAATTAAGTTAGCATGTGATTTTACTCCATACGGATTACCTTTTATATTTGGAAATATTAAGCAGTATTGTCCGACTGGTTGTTAGTGTAAAGATATTTCTGTTAGTTTCCATTGTGCCAACATGAATTGTTATTCCATATAACATTTTCCCTCTACAATTTGGCTCCAGCTATACTGTCTCAGATAGTTGTCCTCAGACATTTTTATCTATCTGAAAAGTCTATGTGAAGTGAGTTCCAGCACCACCTTTATAACTGGCTAGACACAACAGACAAAATCCACATAGACACACCGAGAGCAAATATGTAAAAATTATTTATGACACACCAAATCTCAAAAGCTCATGTCAGAAGCAAGATCCAAGGCAGAGATCCACGTATGTGTCAAACTTTTCTATAGTATATTTCATGCAACTACTACCTGACTGTGGTTCTTCAGGAAATCACAGGATGGAACACTCACTCCTCCCCTGCATGTAATTCTGTATTAGGGACAGCACAAGTTTCATTTATGTTGCAAATCTGACCATAGCAAAGACTAATTTGCAGTGAAGCACCGTCAGGTTATCCAGCCATATTTATTAGTCCATTTATGTTCAGTTATTATATGGTGGAAAGGAAAATTTTGGCCAAATATCTAGAAGTTTCACACTGAGATTCAATAAGCTTCAGTCCACCTTGCCAGAATGGTCTAGCTGTAATACTGAACATTCCAAGCACAATGATAGATGTGAAGAGCTTCCAGTGCAATTCCAAAACAATCAGAAAGTTATTTAGGTACCAATTGATCTCCCCTAATTCAAATAAACCTTGTTAAATACAAGTGTTATACATTATTCACATATAATGAGCCGCCAGCCTCAAACTGTTTTTAATGCAGATCTCTCCAGCATAAAAATAATTCAAGTCTGGTTGGTGTTAAGTATGAAAGTCACTTTTCCTGTTTTCTCAGCACCCCAGATTTGTATGCTATCAGCAGTGAAAACCTGACTTGGTTATCCTTAAGTAAGGAAACATGAAAAAAGGAAAGGCTGGAAAGGATAAGGGCAGAGATGGATATTCAAATACTTTAAAGTGTGTTTGTTAGAAGCAGTTGCATGTCCAAGTGTTTTCACAACAGGTATTCATGCATGAACAATCAGAATCTTAACAGCACGAGGTGAGAAAGATGCAAGACAAGAATCACAGAATCGTAGGGGTTGGGTTTTTAAAGAAACCTTCTAACTTAGAACTTGACACTAGAACTTTTGGCAAGGATAATAGTGATGAACACAATTACTTTTGTTCATAAAAGATTCAGAGATCTGTTAATGTATCTATAACCACACATTACATGAACTATGGTCTGTTACAGACGTAACTTCTATCACACCGGTCAAGACCTCAACAACTGCAGCACCTGCCAGAACACAGCATGCATCATTTACAGGTACTTCACTCCACCTCACCATTTGTATCATCTCCAAATGTATAATTCAGTGTTTCGTTCACAGCTATAAAATGTCTCACCTATGATTAATTCATTTTTTTACAAAAGTCCAAGTAATGTGTATGAGGTGATTGGTTTGTTTTCCCAAGAACAAAACAGTGAATATTGGTGTTAGCTGAAAGGGGCACTGTACTGCTGAGAATTCAATAGAAGCTTCCCACTAAGGTCTCACAGTGGCATGCTTTGAAAACCTTTACCATTTCTCAGGGTGAAATTTCTCTGTGTGTTACATTTTTAAAGCTGGAATTTCAGTAGTAAGTTTAGATCTTGGAAAACACTCAATTCTCCAAATGCCAGTGAGCTACAGCTACAGTTCATGTTAACATGCAGAACAAAAACAAAACTCCCACACTTGTCACTTCAGTAAATATTTATTTGTTATTAATTTCAGAGAGTGCAACTTGCATGTAAGCTACTTCAAATTTAAACTGCCATTTATCTTAAACACTTAAGACCAGAGAAATTGGCAGTGTGCTGCTCTGGAAGCTGTGCATGTTTCAAATGCTGTGTCTATACAAACGTGAAGTAAGAGCCTTCAGCTTAGCACCAGCCATTAACACAAAAGTGAGCACGGACAAAGTCTTGGTTGTGCTGCACATGTAGTTTGTCCACTTAACAAAGGATTTTATAAGGCTTCCTCCAATTTATTCATGGAACACTTTGTCTAATGTCTGCAACCTCAGTTACGAGGCAGAAAATCAACCTGGTTGGAAGAGACCTCAAAGATCATGGAGTCCAACCCTACCGTGGTTACTAGACCATGGCACTAAGTGCCACATCCAGTCTCATCTTGGAAACCTCCAGGGATGGTGAATCCACCACCTCCCTGGGCAGCACATTCCAAATTACATCAACTTGATCACATTGACAAAAATAAAGGCTAAGAGAATAACACTTTTAGGATGAAACTTTTCCTTTATATCAAAGAACATGGCAGACCATTATCTTCACCAGTCTGTAAGCACTGTAAATTTTGTATTGGATATAAAAAATAGAAAATACCCACATGGAAGTGTTTTTCACATTGCATCTTCTACATGAGCCAAATTTATTAAAGAGCATAATAAACTAGAAACATTACTGGAGCCTATTGTTCCACATACAACTCAGGTAGTGATGTCCTAAGTCTCCAGCAATGAGATCTCCAAGTAATTAACACATCACAAATCAAACACTACAACTCCTCTGAAACAAAGCTGTTAGTCTCCACAGCTCACTGGATACTCTGGGAAGTTACGTGACTTACCCAAGTGCACAGACTGTATCTGTATAAAAAGGAAGATCCAGGACAAAACAGATTTCCTTTACTTGGTCATTGTCTCTGAAGGAACAATCTCTGTGTAGTTTATGGGACTAGACAGGAACAGGTCACTCTAGAATTTGTGTACCAACTACCCTTTACCACAGGGTGCCCTCTCTCTTCTGAAGAATAAACTTCAAAATATGTGGGTTTAAGTTTACATCATCTCAATGCAGGAAAGATCCTGAACAACAAGCACAATTATCCCAAGGAAAGAACAGAGGAAGCAACAAAACATTGATATGCCTTTTGGATTTACTAGATGGTTTGTAATGATAATTGTGCCTGGAGGCTTACAGTGCTGTGATTAGTAGAACACTTGCAGAACACAGTTGCTTAAAAAAGTTTCTAGTTTTAAGAGACAAACTGGAGACAGCAAGAAAACAATAGTTTTCACTTTGCCAAGATGTTCCACAAGATGTGGTTATGAAAAAAGCATTCCAAGTGACTAATTTGAAGTTCATTAGACAACATTCTGAAAGATCTAATCAGTGTTTGCTCTAAGCAAACCCATGCAATTCCTGTGTTTTGTGTAGCCTAAGAGATGCGTGCAAGTACTTTCCCCCTAAAATAGCATCACTGTTGTCATTAATTATAGAATCAAGTGTTCTATCTTGCTCCCCATTTGCCTTCTCTTAAAGAATTTAACTCATCAGTGATGCAAACGCTGCACAAGCAGAATGTTCGGCTGCTGTCACTGAACCATCTTTATCACACACATTTGAAGCAGTCTCTCAGTCAAACAATACACTAATCTCATCTAAATCCCACTGTGGATTACACTGATCAGTAAAGTAATAAAGAGCTTTTCAGCCTAACAGTGACTGTAAATGTGGCTTTATTAACTACCCAGCAGGGATTCCAGAATGGGATTTTTCAATCTAGATCATGTAACACAAATGTTTGCCTTACAATAAACAAATGCAAGTAGCAACCAAAACAGTTATCTCAGCATATCACGAGCAGTATTAAATGAAAACTGAATTGACCTCTTGCCTCTGGAGATGATCACTCCAACATTAAATTAAAAACTCTGAAAAAAACGCAGAAAGAAGAAACATGAGCAGATGTTATCCTTACATATGCTATGAACAAACCATTTCATTCTCCAGGGCTTGTGGTCTGTGACTACTGAAAGGGATTAAGCTGCAGTTTTAGCAAAAAAACTAAAAAATGCAAGAGACACTGATTTTCTATCACTTTCTTCTACTTCTTTTATATTTATTATGTATTGCTTCTTGTTCAGACATCTAAATGAGACTAATCTTATCACTTTCTTTTTGCCAGCTGAGTTATCTGATTTCATTAAAAAACCCAGACCACATTAATTATAAGGCAAACAAGCTTCTAGTTAGTTTTAACATATTATTTAACAACATTTAATGATTTCTATGTACATAAAAATACAATTAATAGTGTTTAAAGTTATGCATATTTACTAACTTTACAGGTTTCTTCTATTCAGTGCCAAAATCAGATTCAGGGCCTTGAAGTGACATCCCAACAACCCTTTGATGATGCCCTTTTCCTCCCAAAGTGTTTGCATTATGGAAAATACAACCTTTGTACTCTCCCCTCTGCCTCCTTAAAGGTCCAGAGCAGACACAACTCACTGTCCTGCCCAGAAAGGATGATTGAAATAAAGAAAATACATACAATACTGTTTAATCACTGTCCATATTGTCCCTTTTGAACCTTATGTTTATTTCCATCTACTCCTCTGCTGTTATCTAATTAACATCTTGGCTCTCGTTTGACATCAATAATAATTAGGGGTTTCAATGGAGAGAACGAGTTCTACTTTCCTGTTAACTAACATGACTTAGTTCAAAGACTTACATATTAGCTTCATTTCATGGATTTTTGCTCCTAGCCTGTCTCCTAGTGGGAGATACTCACATTTAACAAAGTTAAGCACGTGACAGTTTTTATTCAGTCCAAACATATGACTTAGAGTATCAAAATCTGACCTTTGAATAAAATGCACTGAAAAGTCATCCTAGGACATTTTGATTTTTTCTCCCTTAATTTTTGTCTCATTCTTTTGGGCACAACGCTGGACTTCTTAATTCATATAAAGTAAAAGGTTTCCCTCAAAAAAAAAAAATTAGGAGATGAACATATTTTCAAAGCAGCAACCTATACACCCTTGTGTTTTCACCAGGCTGTCACTGAATAATGCCAAGTTATTCTCATGAGGTAAGCATCCTTTCCACATGTTACTTGAAGGAGAATTTTGCACTTACTAGTGTAAATCTCTTGATTTTTCCATAGTGTAGAATATGACTTCAGACAACAAGAAGGAAGATTTCATCAGATTTTGAAAACACTGGATCATGCAGAGGAAAATCCAGCCTCAGCTTCACCTCAGAATCCACCACCTGATCCTCCAGCTCCCGAAAAAAAGGAGTTAAGGAGAAAAACAAAAAAGGTGAAAAGAAAATGCTTCTGGTGGATTTGACTTTCTCATGCATCCTTTTACATTTCAAAAGACACTAGAACGGGAAGAGTTTGAGAGCACACACCTGAAATGTGCTATTATGAAATCACAAAGTTAAAGAATGTTTAATTAGAGCATCTGAAAAATCAAAATAATTGAATTCAGTTAAATTGTCTCATTGAATAAAGGTGCATGAAGATTACTATTTTCAAAAAAGAAACGGTTTCTTTCAAAAGGAAGGTTTCTCATTTTTTTCCAAGGACACTTTCATATGCTTTGTAAAGACCTTTTTTTCAACTTTCCAAAAATAACAAGGTTTAAACCTCTACTTCAAAAAACAATGGTAGACAAAGCTAAGCATGGCACACAGTTTTCATTGCCTATGTATAAGCAACATGGACTAAAAGGAAAGAACTTGATTGATCTTTAAACAAACCACATCATCAAGAACGAGTTCAGGGAAATGTACGTTGTTGAAGCAAATCTCTCCTCAAAGGAGACAACTACAATTATTTCATTTTCCCATTGAAATATTTTTGTTGCTGTCAGCTAATATTTAACAACAAAAACCAGAATTTCAGGTTAAGTTCTACTCTGTCCTTTTATTTGTTCATGATAAAGAGCCACCATGTAGAAGTTTCAGCCATTTAATGGACTTCTCTGAAAAGAATTGAGGAAACAAACAAGAGAATATTGTGGTAACTCTGGTCTGAACCCTCTGCACAACCAAGGGCCAATTCAGTGGATTTGAGTGTCTCCAAAGACAAGAATCCATAACTCCTTGGGGCTGTTCCGGTTGTTTTTTTCCTAACATCTAGTCTGAGTTTCCTTCATTCTAACTTGTGTCCATTACATCTCACTCTATTCAAGTACATCTCCAAAGGAGAACTAGATGGAAAATGAGACCTCCCTCTTCACTTCTTAAAAGCTGAACAAATCCAGTTTTTACTGCCTCTCTTCTCATGTGACATGCTGCGGGGCACAGTCATCTTGGCTGTCTCCCTTCAGTAAGCTGATGTCTTTCATATGCCTGGAAACCTAAAACTGGACAAATGCCTCTGATGTCATCTCTCAATTGTAGGATAGAGGGGGATAACTATTTTGGCTACTGTCTTGCTAAATCACTTGCCCATCAGTCCATTGAACACCTGTATCACTATACCAAAATATCCCAAGGTGTGGATTTTTTGGCCTTAAGATGTAAATTGCTACATAATACAAAATTGATTATAAAAATAATATTTAGTGAACTTATCTGTATTACACAAAAAAAAATCTATGCTGGAAGGATTTTATCAAATGTCAATGCAGCTACTGCTTTCCTCCAAAAATACTTGAGTTACCACCTAGAACAGGATATGCCTATGGAACTTAATGTAGGGTTGATGACACTATTATTGTACTCACGAAAACATGGTCACCTTTCATAGAGGGGCAGAGGGGAAAAGGTTTTGCAAAGCAAGTTTAGTGGAATGTACTGCAGACCTTTCCTTGTAAGTGACTCTGGTTCAGGGTATTCCATAGATTAACCCCTGCATTACTATTTTTCTAAATCATACTGTATTAATTGTGCAATGTTAGTTTAAAATGTCTGTACACTTTTTGTACATTTTGTGTTCCTTCAGTTCTTAGGGTTAATTACATATCTGAAAATACATTAAAAACAATTTTGCACAGAAGAATTTTGTCTGGAAGAACTAATTTTTTATATATAT